TATATTGAATAAAGATTTGTCGCATATAGTTGCTTGATTCTTGTTTCTCTTGATTTTTTTTTCCCACGACGGGCAACTTTAACATATACACATCCAAACTCACGCACTCATATGATGGCAAGAGTAGAACCCTCAACCTTATATTATATTCTTCCGGTCCTAAATATAAGATCTATTTTATAGTGTAATTTATACTGTAAAATGGATCTTATATTTAGAATCAGAAGAATATTTCTCTTTATTGGATCTTGCTGCCTTTTGTGAATTAAGTCTTTAACTTGATCTGGTGGATTAAAGAAGTTAATTGAAGGTGACTAAATCTTTTTAAAAAATCTTAATTACTTAGCAAATGAGATGAGAAATTTTGGGTATTTCATCAATTTTTTTAAACTCAAAACACATAGTTTTATTTAAGGATAATTTTGCCATTCTACTAATTTCAATAGGTCTAATTCAGTAATACCAATTAAACTTTGCTGATGATTTCCTTTCTCGACGTCACCCCAGATGTTTTTACACTTTCTAGACACCACAAGAGATCATCTTTTTCTTATCTGTGCGCGTTCCATCTTAATTTCAGTTTGATTTGACCTTCAAAGAGTTCAGTATATTGTGCTCACCTTTTATTCAATTGTTTAAAAAAAAAAGAAAGCAATCCATGTACTGCGATGATGAGCTAGTAAGATCCATGGATGATTTTTTTTTTTTTTAAAGAAATAAAGTTGATTGCTTAATTCCATCGCTTTGTTTATCCAATTACCAAAGCATATATAGCGCATGAGCAGTCGACAACTTGGAGGCGGAGCGTCCATCTGCAGAAGAGAAAGACAAAAGGGGCCTGAGTTGAATGTAAGCATGAAACGGTTTTGTCCTTCGGATTCTTTTGGCAGGTTGTGGACTTTTCTGCTGTTCAGGTGAAGCTAATTTAGCTTTTGGAAGTGAGGCCGGAGCTCTCCAGATTTCGCTGTAACTTGGAAAAAGTGCAGATGGAGTGGGATTGTCTGCAGCTGGTACCGGCAGTTAATGGAAAGGCTTCGTGTCCTGAGTGGCAAGTAAATAATTCGGTTAATGATTTACAAGTTTTGTTCAAGTCTAATGCTGACTTTTCTTTAGATCACACTCCTAGATCTTGTAATTTGGTGGCTGATTTGGCTTGCCAAATCTGGTTGTAAGGGGATGAGCTCTTTTGGTTGGGGCATTTGCCCTCCATCCCCTCTTTTTGATCTTCTTTGTTCTGACAAGACAGCTTGTAAACGAGGTATTGGCTGAGACGTTTTGTAATGATAATGAATGATAGTTTTTCTTTGTGCAAAACAATAAAAAAATTGAGGGGCAAATCTGAAAGGTAAAGGAGAGGGAAGATTGGAGAAAGACAGCAAACCGGTAACAAATGGGGCAACTTGGGGGACTTGGGCGCGGGTCAGAGGAAATGCCCGTGATGGCTGACGACACTGCTGACGAGTGATGATACAGCGACAGTCCTGGCCGTTACGCATCTGGATGTGCTAACTAAGCTTAGTGTGTGGCATTATTAATCATTGTTTTGTTTCTCTTTTTCTTATTAATTTACTCACTAATCATTATTAATATTAACAGTAATATTTTCTCCCTCTCTTAATATCAGAATTAGTTGAAGGATTGAATTTAGTATTTTTCATTTTTCAAACTAATTTATGTAATTTATAAACTAAAATATAATATAATCACGGTACATCATTGTATTGCTAATTTATTTAATTTCTTAATCTACTCACATCAGTTAAATAACTATTACATTAAATATGGAGGGAGAATATTATACCAAAATGCAAATAAAATAAACATGGTCTTCCGTAAACTAACATTACTATATATATATATATATATATATATGGCGCCAACAAAAATTGGTTGCTAAAGGATCATGATGATGCGAGTCGAAACAGTATACATGCAATATTTGAAAATAAAAGTACCCCTCGTTATGAAATCGTTGACTTCTTTTAGCTGCGATTCCAAAATTCTCAACGATATAGTTTAAAGGAAATTTTTTTAAAAAAAAAAAACGGGTCGGCAAGAATAAAAATTTATCAACATCAGTAGATGACAACTTATGAAAAATGCAATTTATTTCAAATTCTGTAAGATTTTTTTTTCCCGCTAGGCTCAAATATTCTTATATTAGAGGTCTGTTTAAAATATTATCAGATATTAAATATAAAAAGAATAATGTAAGTGGTATTAATTAAAAAGAAGTGAGCCATCATCGTAAGCACCGAGCGTCCATAAACCAGATGCTGTAACTTGACTGGTTCATCTGCAGAGGAACAGCCTGGCGTGTGAATGCGCTTGCACACAATCAAGCCGACCTGTCGTGCATATTTCATGTACTGCTTCGCTGTCAGTACTAAGGGCCTATTTATTGAATTAAATTAAAATTAATATTGCGTATTGGCGCTACCGACTAAAAATTCCATATGGGAAAATGGCATCACAACCCAAAAAATTACTATCTTTCATCCTATAGAAGCAACACAAGAAATTTATTTTAATTTTAAATATAGGATGTTAATTTTTTTTTAAAAAAATTTACAAATTTTTTCAACGTATTCCCTGCTTGGTAAAAGATTTTTATTAAGGTAAAGAATTTTTATATTAAGAGTAGTTATAATCCACATGATTAAAATAAATATTTAAAAAAACCAAATTTATTATAAATAACTAAACTAATTATTTATTTAATAGCATTAAATTAATTAACCAACTCTTATATTAAAAAAATAAAGAGAGCATGATATTTTATTATTGCTATTTCTTTAAATGTAATAGAGCGTGAACAATGATCAGCGGGATAAGTTTATCCATGCATGCATGTTGGGTTGAATAATATAAGTTTATTTACTCGGATTTCTGGTGATCTAGATTCCCATAAACTATGGGTTATTACAGAGGTTATTGTTTTGAATTGGCTCAAAATGTTGGCGGGAAGCAGGAAAAATAAAAATAATCTTTACTATAAGACCTATTTAACTAATTTAATTATATTAAAAAAGTTAAGTAAGTTAATTAATTATAAAAAATATGCATATTTTTTCTAAAACACTATAATCATTTTTTTTAATGTCCTCCTTCCCTCTTTTATTTGATTATGGTTACAGGAGTATCTATAAAAAAAATTAAAAAATTGATAAAAATAAGAAATAGGTATTATAGTTAGGACTAAATCAACTCAATAATTAGATCATAACCAAAAAAGTAAATATAATAAAATATTTCGCAGCCATTCAAGATTTGAAATTGGAAAAACTCTGAGAAGAATGATGTGGGGGTGAGATGCTGATGTGGTAACAGATGTCAGTCGCGGGGTCCGTCAATTTATTCCCCTCAAGCACAAAAACCATTCTATTTGTGAGTTAAAAATTGCCACATGCAAAAACCATTTTTATAATAGCCAAATGGTAGGGTAAAATTCGCTCTTCTTTTTCGTTTATTTTCCCAGAAAAAAGGATCACCCTTCTATAAAACAATAATCTGGGTTCCACTTCAATTTTGTATAATCTGTTTGGATTAAAATTTTGAACATTCTTATAACTCAAATTAAGGTTTCTCGAAGATATATTCCATTATTCTGATTATATTTCAAAAATTTTCGCGTCACGTGCCTTAGAAGGCAATGTTTCAGTTAATAATATATAGACCCGTTACGTATTTAATAAACTTACATTTAATTTTTTTTATAGTCACAACTCAGAAGTCTCATATAAATATATAATATATATATATAACATAAAAATTCAGGCGTTTTTCTTTGATTTAATTTTGAGGTGCGGGGTACGTAAATAAACAGACTTCGATGAAATTCTTATATATGATATGATGGTGGTGGTGGTGGTGAATCATGTACTGGGAAATAATCCCTATGATCTTCATAAGAGAATTCTTAGGAAGTTCACGATCTTGATCTTATTTCCGAGAGAATCCGGCTATATATCTATTAGCATCTTCCATTTTTCCTATTAACAAACGAGAACACTTTCTGGAATGAAGCTAGTTTTATCATGGAACATTACCTAATTTTTTTTGGCCAAAGCAATTTAATCAACTCAAATAATATGCATTTATAATATTATTATTGTATTCAATTTTATGACGATCGAGTTATTCAATATTCTTTGGCAGAAAACTGTTATTCAATATTCATCTCATATAAGAATATTATGAAAACAACCGGAGGTGGCACAACAACTAAAAATCGAAAGATAAATCAGGCCGTTAACTTACACATATTCGGTCGATATAATTAGAGAGAGAGAGAGAGGACGTTGACCCAAATGAATGAGGGCATATACCCCTAGATACCGCTGACACATGAGTCCCCCTTTGCCCTATATATACTCCTTCCCCTTCCTCTCTTTCCTTTCATCCCTCCTCGTCTTCCGCAACCTCCAACACCAGGTCCTCTCTCTCTTTCTCACTGCGTTTTTTGTTTTGCTATACAATATATGATGATCATGTGATAACAGGAACCTTAAAAGAGGATTCTTTTCTCGAAGTGGAAGTGGGAAGATGGCCGCACTTCTTAAGCTTTCAATTTTCTGGGTTCTCATAGATCACTGTTACATTCATTAGTTAGTGGGTCCCACTACTCATATCTTTTGAACCTGATTTCATGGTTTAGTCTCTGAAGTCCTTGCTCATCTTTATTTGATTTTCAGTTCCGCCTATTTTAGCTAGCAGTTTTGGGTAATGAATCGATTCCAGAGGTTTTGCCTTATTTCTCTTGTCTTCGTTTTTCAGTCCCCTTCAATTTTTATTTCTTTTGCACCCTGGCAAATTTTGCCAGTCAAGTCTTCTCCCCGGCAAGGGAGGCCTACAGTTTGTGTCCTTTTCTCTCTGTCTTTTCGCTTTGGTTTGTTTTTTTGTATCGATGTGCATGGGACCATTCAGTAAAAGGAAAATAAATCCTATTCTGGAAAACCATCTGTTAGTCCCAGCCACTTGATTTTCAATTTGTTAGGTCTTCTGGGTGATTGCAGTGAAATTACTCGAAAGTTGAAGTCCTAGTCTTTGTTGATACAGACGTCACGACACTGAACTCATAGGCTGTGTTTAGTAGAAAGCATTGAAAAATAGGAATTGGGATTGAAATTGAAAAAAATCTATCAAAAGAGTGCCTAGCATCAGAGATTACTTGTTATATGGGATTAGTCAAATCTACATATTTGGGATTGGGGAATATCATGAGGAGAGATAGTATTCCCCAATCCTACCTCTATGGGTTTACTTAATCTCATACAACAAGTAATTATTTATACTAAATACTATTTTAATAATTTTTCTAATTGCAACCCAAATTCATATATTTCATTTTTAATACTTCCTACCAAACAGGATTTTCCAATTAGTTAGAGTTAGTCAACTTTGTTCCGCCATTGACTATGGACCTTTTTTTTTTTTAATATATAAATAATAAAATAGTCTCAAGGCAGGAATAGTTGATGCGTCATCCTTAGATAAGGGTCGATCGACGTTTGCTGATTAAATTTCTTCCAAACCTCGAGCATAAGTTATTCTTTCAGGTCACGTAGCTAACAAAATGACTCTTCCATATAGTACGTAACGTGTTTGGGAAAAATATTAGCAAGGGGTTATCTAGCATATAGTCTGTGATTCTTATTACTGGTTTTCATATGCAGGAGACCTTTTGAGTCTTCTCTAAGATGGCGGGGGAGCAATTGGGAGTACTTACTGCGCTTGATTTAGCCAAGACCCAATGGTACCACTTCACAGCGATTGTGATTGCCGGGATGGGCTTCTTCACGGATGCATATGATCTTTTCTGCATCTCCCTCATCACTAAGTTGCTGGGGCGATTATATTACACCGATCTTACCAAACCAAAGCCGGGAACTCTGCCGCCCAGTGTTTCAGCTTCTGTGACTGGTGTCGCCCTTTGTGGCACTCTGGCGGGCCAGCTATTCTTCGGTTGGCTCGGCGACAAAATGGGCAGAAAGAAGGTCTATGGTATCACTCTTATTCTCATGGTCGTCTGCTCCATTGCCTCAGGCCTCTCTTTTGGCTCCAGCGCAAAGGCTGTTATAGCCACACTTTGTTTCTTCCGATTCTGGCTCGGTTTTGGAATCGGAGGGGACTATCCTCTTTCAGCCACAATCATGTCCGAATATGCCAACAAGAAGACTCGTGGGGCTTTTATAGCTGCAGTCTTTGCCATGCAAGGTTTTGGCATCTTGGCTGGAGGGATTGTTTCTTTGATTGTCTCAGCTGCATTTGACCATAAGTACAAGCTTCCTACCTACGAGGAAGACCCAGCAGGTTCCATCGTGCCTGAATTGGACTACGTTTGGCGCATCGTTTTAATGTTTGGTGCACTACCTGCTGTTCTCACCTACTATTGGCGAATGAAAATGCCAGAGACAGCCCGGTACACTGCTCTTGTCGCCAGGAATGTGAAACAAGCAACTACAGATATGTCAAAAGTTTTGCAAGTCGAACTTGAGGTTGACGAGGAGAAGGTCAATAGGCATGCGGCTGAGAATGAATCCAATAAATTCGGCTTGTTCAGCAAGGAATTTCTCAAGCGCCATGGGCTGCATTTGCTGGGAACCACTAGTACCTGGTTCTTATTGGATATCGCCTTCTACAGTCAGAACCTTTTCCAGAAGGACATTTTCTCTGCAATCGGATGGATCCCTCCTGCAAAAGAAATGAACGCAATTCATGAAGTTTACAAGATTTCAAGAGCTCAGACACTCATAGCTCTGTGCAGTACCGTGCCGGGTTACTGGTTCACAGTGGCATTAATTGATTACATGGGCCGTTTCGCCATCCAATTGATGGGTTTCTTCTTCATGACGGTCTTCATGTTGGCCCTGGGCATACCATACCATCACTGGACCTTAGAGTCCCACCGAATCGGGTTCGTTGTGATGTACTCCCTCACCTTCTTCTTCGCCAACTTTGGTCCAAATGCCACCACATTCGTTGTGCCTGCAGAGATTTTCCCAGCAAGGCTAAGGTCTACATGTCACGGAATATCAGCTGCTGCAGGAAAAGCGGGAGCGATTGTGGGTGCTTTTGGTTTCTTATATGCGGCACAGAGCAGAGACCCTACAAAGACTGACGAAGGGTACCCTCCAGGAATTGGGATTCGATACTCTCTGATAATGCTTGCTGTGATCAACTTCGTTGGGATGTTGTTCACCTTCTTGGTGCCAGAATCAAAAGGCAAATCACTGGAGGAGTTGAGTGGGGAGAACGATGATGGTGAAGAAGGTGTGGTGCGAACTGGGCAAGCTGCGACTGGCAGGACAGTTCCAGTTTAATGGGGGTTCGCCCCAGTGTGTGTCTATTAAAAGAGGTTCAAGTTAAGTAGATCGTGAAAATTTTTAGTGGCGGGTTGGCTTAGCTCAAGTGTGATCGGTAATAATGATGCATGTAGATATATGTCTTATATATTTGCTTTGAGATGCTTCAACTCTCTCAGGCAATACTTACGGTGTGTGCCTAGCTATGTATGTCCAAGTTTGTTTCTTGTTTCTCCTTTCATATTTGATCTGTGTAAATTGGGTAATGGGTGTTACTAATTGGGGAATTTTGTTTTAGGACGTGGACTTTTTAATTTTCTGATGCGGGTGAAAATTTCTGCAATTAAAATCCATGGAACCTATAATCTTTGGTTTTTTAAATTTATCCTCATTTTGATTTCAGTCTCTCAAGTTTTAAATTATAAGTTTTAGTTCCTCAATAGGCAAAATGTTTTAAGCTTTTATTGAATTATAGGAACAAATCTTTTAAATGAAAAGAAATTTGAGAGACCAAAATTTAAAATTTAAAACTTGATAGACTAAAAACAAATTAAAAAAATTAAAAATTGTATTAACGCCAACAGATTTTACAAAATTTTAATCCAGACTACTCCCTCCCCCAAAAAAAGAAACACACACACACACACAAGCGTGTTTCCAGCTCGCTGCCAAAAACAAGCCAGCGATTGTAAAAATATAGGAATTGATGAACCAGATCGACAAGTAAACTCGAGCCACACGGTTGTCCCTAATTTTAGCAAATTCTACCGCCACGAATGCACGGCTTGAACCATATTTATTTAATATTTTGATTTTTGAGATAATTTTACCATTTTTCTTGCAGTGTTTTTAGATTATCATCTCTTGAGAGGGAGTTTTTGTGGGATTAGATTCTAATGTTTTCAAGCTCGTATATGAGATAGCTCTTTCATATCAGATAGCTCTTTCAATATAGTCGCTTGCATCAACAAGATTGAAATCTCAACCTTGGTGGTTAGGGATTTTATGTCATATTTCTTATTATTTTCCTATAGAAATGTCACTCTTTACGTTTCATATCTTTTTTTTTTTTGGGGTTAATATATAGGGATGTTGTTACTTTCACACTCTTGGGCCCATGGCCCAGTAAACCGGGCCTAACACAGCCGAAGTAGACCATTAGGAAAACAAACGAAACGATGTGGTTTATTACCCCACCACCTGAGTTAGCCAGCCCGCGAGGTGATGATGAGATTTTTCAAATAATATGACGGGAAAATAACGATTGCAAACCACGAAAATGAATATTAATTACAATTAGAGATCATAAATTTTGAAATATCAGAAAAGGGCGAAGGTCCTTGAATGATTTTATTCAAAAAAAAATGGATGGGCAAAAATAATTTGGCGTTTAATAAAAACATGCAAGCACCGACAGTCTATTATTGGCGATTGGAAATCTCATCAGTGACTATTTTACGATGGACGGCCAATGCCAATGGGGGATCCCTAGAAAGGGCATTTTTGCAGCAAAAATTTTTTTCTTTGCAAAAAATGGCATCTAAAGAGCTTAATTTTGATCTTCAGTTGTGTTAATATCTTTATATGATTTTATAATTTGTCATATTCCCCTGTCTCAGGTCTCAAAATGAAGCTAAGAGTCGAATTTAGGTATTAATGAACAAATAGAACTGCATAAGAAAATAATTGAATAGAATGAGGAGGATTGAAATGACAGGGGATGTGTCATTTTGTTGTTGAAGAAACTACTAATAGAAAACTGACAAGGGGAGCAGTAAACTTGATTGGCTTATTTGTTTAACATCACATTCATAACTAAAATGTGAATGTAACACTTTTAAGCTAAATAAAACGATGTTGTATGAATCAGACTGATCGAGGTATCCTTTTGAAGATCGTTTTGTTTCATAATTAAGGTTCATCTAAATGGCACAACCTGAATAAAGGGCACCAACAATGGTAATTAGGTAGAGGGCACTTAGTTATTAGGTACACCCCAGTGGTAGGTTTGTGACTTTAGTCAACTATTACTGATTATATGTCTTCAGAAGGGCACCACCAAAATTGGGTTTGGAACTTGAAATTGAACTCAATGGGTTGGTAGCTATCATCATTGCCTCTCCACTTCGTCTTCCTCAGTTGCCAAAGCTGAGACTTTTCTATTTTCTGGGTTTGTGTTTCAAATCACAGGGTCCTTTCTCCACTATGTATCATTGTTGCCACATGACTAATCTCCACCAAGTCCACTATTAAGGTGATATCTTGTCGTTGCTTGAAGTAAACAAAAAAAGAAATAGATATGTACATAATGATAGGGATCCCATCTCAAAAGTAAAGCTTCCTATTATATTTTTGCTGAGCCCGGAAGAGCGTCCTCTTCAATGGCTCTGAAGTTTCATAAAAATGCATGTAAGCAAGTGGGTTTCAAATCACATATTAAAATTTTGAAGAATTTTTATGGGTCGTCGATCGTTACGTTTTATATACATATATTCCCCAACAAAGGTAAGTAGTTTTGCAGGGATTGACTTTACGAAGTTAGTAAAAGGAGTGAGATTCCTGTGAAAATGGAGTCCCCACAAAGGTTGAACAGGGTAGAACGATGACACCCTAATCTAATGCAGCCAACCTCACTCTTTCTTGCTTGTGTTGACTCCTGTTTTTCTCTTTTCTTTGTTCAAAATTTAATTAATTCTCGTTATTACCGTATTTATCATGTGCTAAGACCCTAATCTTACACTTTTATGTATAAATGCATGTTATAATACAGGATGGGAATTCATGAATGTGATTCAATTTAGTTGTATGACAACCCAATAGAACCAGACATGGCAAGCAGCACTTATCATCAGCAAATTCACCCAAGGACCATACAACATACAAGACGAAAGGCCTATGACTTTTCCATCCATTCTATGAATATCTCAAGGTGAAAGTGGGGTTATTTTATCCATTCCTATGAATTCTCTGCGGTGTTTAGAGATGAACCTACCAAGTATTTTAAGCATGATTTCAATGTGGGGCTTCCATAGTGATACGTTGTGATATTTGTTAGTTTCGAGGGATTTAAAACTGCATTTGTGTAAAAGGTAAGCTGAAGTTTAGAATATTTATAATTTCAAGTTTTGACTTTGTTTTTTCGTTCAAGTGTTGACATACTGCAAGGAGCTAGTTATTATACTTACCTATTTTCCATAGCACATTTTAGAATACCAAGATACAACAAAAAGCAGAATATAAATTTGCATGGTAACATGTCTGAATGAGCTTCTTTAATTTGTGGGTTGTGTGGGTCCACATCAGAGAGCAGAATTTTGCTTGGTGATGGGAGTATCGGAGAAGGATAAAATGGTTTGGGGGGTGTGGACGGATCAAATGGGTAATTGGTTTTCATTTGTTGAGAAATTTAGCGCCCACAAGTGAATGGACTGAAGTTGAAAAGCTAGCACCATTGATAATGTACTGACAAGAACTGTTGCGTGAAATGTTAGCCAAGCTCTGATGCCTAGCAAACCCGTGACGAATCTTTTGCTTTCCTACTTTTGTTAAAGTGGCAGCCAAAGTATACAAGGAGAATTGGAATAAGATTTCAAGAAATATAGATAATTATTAAAAAAATTTAATAACAATTTAAACAGCAATAATAAGTTTCAGAATAAAAATAAGTTTTTAAGACTTATTTTATAATTATTTTTTTAAAATCTTATTATAATTTTTCCAAATATATACGCAACCCAAAGCCACGGGCGGTTGATGGCATCACTTGCAGGTTCCGAGGTCGAATCCCAGACCAGAGCGGATTTTCACTGTAGGTTGGGCGTGATGATGAGTGTGAAAGGCCCTTCCCATGGGCAAGGGATCGGTGTGTGTAAAATAAATAAAAAGAAATACTCTTCAGAAAATTTATCCTTTTTTTTTAGTATAGTTTTGAAATTTTAAGTTTTGACTTCTTACAACTTAATCTGTAAATTTTGATTTAATACAACTCAATCTTTGTAGTTTAAACATTTAAAATATTAATTCCTATATATATTTTAGAAAATAAAGTTATATATCCCATAAAATTTAGAAACTAAAGTTGTAAATAGTCAAAATTATCAGAAATGAGTTGCGGTGAGTTAAAACTCAAGATTCACGTTATGAGTGGATCAAAACTATAAGAACAAAAAATACCGAGTCATGAATTGAGAATTAAATTACAATGGAAGTAGGATCTAAAAGATAAGTTTTCATCATTAGTTTTTATTTCTCATATGGGTTATTTTTATAGCTTTGTCTTTAAAAAGGGGAAAAACAAGAGCCTTATATGCAGATTAAGATTTGGACTGAGAATTTCACTCTCTCTTCGTATATAGAAACAGAGAAACACACAAGCGCGTAATCTTTGGGGATAATAAAACTTTATATCCAGAACCAAAATAAAATACTCTTCTTATTTTAAGTTTTAAATAATTAATTTACGAATAATAAACTAATAGTTAAAATTAGTTTAAAATAATAAATAAGTTAAAAATATAAATTTATTTTCAAATATGTCCTTATAATAAATAAGAAAAAGGATGAAAGAAGATGTGTGGAGAAATGTGATGAGGGAGAGTATAACAAATGAGAGAGAATAAATAATTAAGGACAAAATAAAAATACATTAAATGTTAAGACAAATCTCAAATTAAAGCTTATATAATAAACTATATCCTCTTTTCAAATTTAAAACTTATAAATAAAAGCGGAGGAAGTACTACTCTATATGTTATCAAAGTGGTGGAGTTCAAAACTTCTTGTGGTCTCGTGTTCTACAGGCTTAAGTCCTGTTTGGCAGGACAGTAAAAATTTCTTATAAATATGTTTTATATAAGTTTAGATAAAACTCTTTTCATATATCGCTTGAAAAGCATGGGGTATTGTTTCGTTTGAGAATCCACGGAGTTCATCCAGCGAGGTTTTCTTGTAAGCTGTAAGGCCATCTATTAAATGATATGCATCAAACTTATTTATTATTTTAAAAAAAGAAAACGGTTACAGGATAGGCTGCCCGCATTACAACGCAGTCGCATTCAAAGTCAAAGTAGGCTGCCCAAACGGGTCAACACACTCTGAAGATAGATATTGGAGTGCCCGTCCTCTCTCTGATGATGATAATAATAATAATAATAGTCGGGGTCCATTCTGATCTCTCCCACAAATGCATAAGAGGCGCAAGTGATATTAATGATATTAAAAAAAGCTAATTGGATGAAAAATTATTTTTGGAGCAACTGACTTTAAGCTAAAAAAATTCAAATTAAAACAAATTTTTTCCTTTTTTATTTTTTTAGCTTTTGACATTTTAAAAAGAAAATTCTGATATCATTCAAGCAAATTTTTGTTAGTTAGGCTATTGTTTTTATAAAAGTTCATCTAAACCTAAATTATATTACATCGTTAATTAACTGTTGTCTCCACTCTAATTTGCAAAAATCAATCAAAGTAAACGTTAGTTTTGTCAGCCCTAATCTGAAACAAGCTTATTGTCATTACCGGCAAAATATTAAATTTTAAAAGATAAGGAAGTGAGGAGGGGATGGATGGGGTGAGATTGAAACTAGAAAAGGACAAGAAAATAATGAAGAGACGATACCATAAAGATGGTCACATCACAAAATAGTACAGTAAATATGAAAAAAAGAAGAAAGGATGGGGTGGGACGCCACTAGCAAGCACGTTACTCACAAATTTTAGGTACGGGGGCTCCCTTGCTTTCACACTCTCCCCTCACCAATAATTAAGGTTCTTTTCACCTGCTCGCTGACCTGTTGACTGTTCCCTTTTAGTGCCGGTCAAATTCATGTTTCTTTCTGTTGGCAAAAAAAAAAAAAAAAAAATTCATATTTCTTCCCGTATCTGACATTAGTGTACTAGGATTATGTTCTGTTCTCATAATATTTTTTGTTTAAGATGTCAAAAAGTATATCTTTGTTGTCTTAAAAAAAATAATAAAAAAATACTTGGGTGGTTGTTAGAACCAAAGAGTAAGAACAGTGAAAGGATGTGCAAATAAATTAGAAAAAGCAACTTATTTTTAAACTGATTTTTAAAAAAATCATATTGAATAAAAATTATAATTGAGTAATGTGATTTATATTTAGATTCACTTTTATAAAAAGTAACTTGTAAAATTAAAAAGTTATTTGGATTATGATTAAATGGGTAAGTTTAGTTTGTAGAATGATGATTTTTATTAAATAATAAAAAATATTAAAAATATAAATTTACAAAATATAATAATTTTAAATTAGGCTAAAGTATACTTTTAGTCATTTATACAAGGTTTCATTTTGATCTCTTAACTTTAAAAAGTAAACTTTTAGTCATCTAGTCCTAAAACTGTTAACAAAAAAACAATGATATTGAGCTTTTGAATACTAATAAAACATTACTAAATACTAACATATTAAGTTTAATATTCCAAACAACCATAGCTATTATAAAAAATTATCATTTAAAACTAATAATTTTGAGGTTAAAGGATTAAAAGTATACTTTTTTTAAAATTAAGGGACCAAACTAAAATCTTACATAAAGTTAAAGGACCAAATATATACTTTAGCCTTTAAATTATTATAATAAAAAATTTGTATTTAATGAATAAAATATATTTAAATGAGAAATCATAGTAATATGAAATTTTTTTAATCAAATAATATTACATAAAATTAGTAAGAAAATAAAAATAATATTAAAATAAAAATATTATAAAAATTATTTTCATGTAAGAAAATATTAATAAAATAAATAACTAAAAATTGACTAAGCATAAAAAATATATAGAAAAAAGCAAAAGAACAACATAAAAAGCTACTTCTGTACAAAACATAAGTAAATTTTAAGTGTTTTTTATAATCATGTTTTAAAAAAAAAAAACTTTTGACGCATAAGTCATATTGGTCAAGAGTTATGACAAATATCTATAAGCCATTTGACAGATTGGTCAAATAACTCCTAAATTATAAACTAACTTATCATATACATTTTTCCTCTCAAAATGCCTTGTGTCGCATGTTACGACACGGCAATAGCGTTCTGTATTACAACGTGCCAATAGAAGACACCGGCACTTTTTTTTTAAAACTACTTTTGAGTCTTGTTAAAGTATATTTCTAGTCTTTTAATTTTATACAAGGTTTATTTTGATTCCTTAACTTTAAAAAATAAATTTTTAGTCCTCTGCCATTAAAACTATTAACAAAAATAATAATATTAAGCTTTTGAATACTAATAAAACAATACTAAATGCTAATATATTAAGTTTAATATTCAGAATAACTATGATTGTTACAAAAAAAACATCATTTAAGACTAATAATTTTAGGATTAAAGGATTAAAAGTATTTTTTTTAAGTTAAGAAATTAAACTAAAACCTTACATGAAGTTAAAGGATCAAATATATACTTTAGCCTTTAAGTTTTGAGTCGTAAAATTTGCCCCGGGTCAGCTCTTAGATTAAGTCAGCATTTTTTATAATACTACTTCATGCTTAATGGAATATAAAAGTTAAATAATTAATTTATAAAAATTAAAAAATTAATTAGATTAGTTAGTTAGTTATAATAAATAAGTGTATAATTTACTAATCATGTGCATTGTGTATTGAAATTGTCTCTTAAAGAAAATCATTTAACATGTACTATTATTATATGAATTATTTAAGAAGAAAAAGATAAATATTAGAAGTAAAGAGGATTGAAATTTTATATTTATAATTAAATTCAATTTTTAACTGGTTTTTATATAAAGGACCAGAAGTTATAAAAAATATTCCTCTAATACTATTTAAAATAAGGAGAAAAAAATGTTTTTATTCATATTTATAAGCCACATTATTAAATTTTTAACATGAATATATTATTTTGTCATTCATTATTATAATTATTATAATATAAATTGTTATTTTTAATATATATATAAATAGTAATAAAGTCGAGAGATGTTTGTTATATTCTAAGACACAGTTAATATGATTTAAAGTTTTTCTCAATTAATGTGAAACATGTTAAAATATCTTATAAATAAGATTAATGAATATATTGTGACGAAATTTATTTTTGTTATTTTAAAATAAATTTAAATAATCACTTAGCAATCTTCCTTAAATTCTGGTGTGAGTGAATGAAGGTGCCCTGTGATGAGCATTTGGAAAAGTGTACTTTTATATTTCATTGTAGATATTAATTTCAATGATGTGCAGAATGTTACATGTTTTTCTATGAATTTGAGAATATCAAAGACGGAGTATAGTTGATTCCATTCTATACCCATTAACAGCCCAGGATGAGAGCATATATGAATCCCAAATCAAATGACCCTTGAAGGAAGGAAGGTTATTGCGAAGTGCATTAGTAGTGGATGGGGGGGTCATATTCAGTACGTTTAGAATTTTCTTCCGTCTTCAAATCATTGGACCCTCCAGGCACATGGAAGCCTGGACGAAGCTCCCCACCACCTTCTTCTCCCTTTTGGGACAGAACATCAAAATGCAAGGTTAACCCATAACTCACCCTATCTGGTTGACACAAGTCTTGAGCAAGAGTAGGTCGAAGGTGTCACGATGCTCGAAATCTGCCCACGCATGTCAGGGCGGGTCTTGTGTTGACACACAAGCCTAGGCTATCGCTCTAACAACCAACCCCAACGCCACAGGCACGTAAGAAAAAAAAAATTTAAAAAGAGTTGGTTCAGTTAATAAAAAGTCGGTTTATAACTTACACAACCGTGAGTTCAAATCCTAATATTGATATAAGAACTTTGTTGATAAACAATCTATAAGTATTTCTATAAATATTTTTTGAGTATAGAGGTATGTCCTGGTTCTAATGAGTTCCTGTGATCCAACTCACTTAAATTTTTAGTATAAAAAATAAACTTGAGTCTAAGGAGAGCAAGATATATTTAATGATATAGTTTTGTTGTTATAACTATTATTTTTGGACCACGGATGATAACTAGAGTAGGTTTATAATAAGGGTGCGCTGATGTGCATATTTACAGAAACCCTTCAATGTCCACAATTAAGTGATGAATTAACTCTCTACAGCAATTATATCTTTTCTCAAAATAGGCAACCCAACACATCTTTCCAAAATAGAAAACTCTCTCAACCATAGCAAGCTTCTCTGAATCTGAGTACACCTCCTCAGGAATATACTTGAATATTCACGGGGCGTGATAAGAGAAGATCTGATTACTCTTTATAAAAAGAACGAGTCTTTAGAAGAAAAAGGAAAGTTAAAGTTAGATTACGAAGGCTAAAAACTAAAAAGAAAGGGCGGCATGTGAAAAACAAGAATATTCTGCAGTTAAAAAGAGATTCTCTTCCTTCAGATTGTTACTCACCACGAACAGGCCATGGCTCGCATTAAATACGGAGCCTTGCCCCCTCACCTGCCCTCCATGCTTCATCCTTAACATTTCTTTTCCCTCCCCACTCGGTTTCTTTCTCCATCTCACACCTCTCATCTTTTTCTTTGTTTCCTGTCAAAAACGCTTAATACAAAAATCCCACTGGCTTCTCCCCGCTGTTGTTCTCTCTATTTCCTCTACATAACATTTCGGTTCTTGTGCTCTGCCACTCTCTTTCCTCATCACTGTTCATGTACACCGTAAGCTTCTGAACGTCAAAAGCGAAGCGCGAAATCGCTTTGTTCTCTCTCTCTCAGGTATGTACTGCTCTCTGTTCCCCCCCCCCCCCATTTTTTTCGGTTCATTTACTCTTTCTTGACAGTGGGTTGGGCTGATAATTTCGTCCTCAATTTTCCATCTCTATCATGTTGTTCTTGCCTACTCTCCTAAAGTTCCAAGCTTCCTATTTTCTTTTCCAAGGATACATATTATTTTTGAAATAGAAGGTTAAACAAGATTTGTTAAAAGGACAATCTTTTGCCGTGTGATTGAGTCTTTCTGAAATTCCTCTCACGCTTTGTTGTTATGATTTTTAAGTTCTTTGTTTACTTGGCTTTCCTTTTTGGTTTTCATTGAACATCTCTCAGAATCTGAATTTCAGTTGGTATGATGATATCCGGTTCTGTTTTACCATGTGAAGATATGTTCTGTGATATCTGTAAGATTTGCATATTTTTATTTCTGTCTCGTGTCCTCCGACTTTTCTCTCGGCTACAAGTGCATCGCTTTCCTTTGTTTCCCACAGCTTTTCTATCTTAATCTTCTATGGCTATTATATGGGGATGAGATCCTTTTTGTCTTGTTCTATCTGCAATGCTTATAAGGAGGTGTTTGGCATCACCTTCACATAAAAGTGTCTTTAAATATACTTTTTTATAAATCGAGATAAATTTTTTTATATATTTATTTTTGTAAAATTATTTTAAAATCATACACTTAAGTCGTGTGTGAAATGTGATTTAGCTGCATGTTTATATTTGGAAATTCCAATAATCATGAGTTTTTCATTTTCAAAAGTAAGTGTTGATTGGGGGGGGGGGGGATGAAAGTTTGTGTCGACTATTTGTACTTAACTCTGGAAAACAGATAGCGACTAGTGAGCCCTTGTGTTCCGACTTCAGCGATGTTCTTTTGATTTTTGGGAGTTTAGATTGATTTTAAATGGTTTAGATTAAATTTAAAATTTTTATATATTTTAATCAATATTTTATTTAATAGATACAGAATTTAAAATAAATATAATATAATAACTAACTTTTTTTAATTGAAAAAATTATATATTAAATTTTTAAATCTGAGATATTATATTAGATTTAGATTTTAAATGGATTAGATTGTACTGAAACACTGAACGAAGACCCTTGATTTTTATAGTACTGTTATTTATCTATTTAATTATAATAATAATTTCCATTCCCGCTGTGGTTTGGTTGGTCACTTCATTGACTCGGCCGAAGACTTGCTCTGCCTCGTTTGGTCATTTTCAGACCCTGTGGCGGGGTCCCCCAAGTTTGAAACCTCTCGTGTTCTGATTCACTGGGAGCAGCATATAACTACTTATCCTTTTCCTGCTGTCACCGCCTCATTCCTTAACCTCAAGTCTGAATTCCTTTCACATCTTCCATGGTCCAACCCGCGCTTTGACTTTTCTCCCCTAGCCTATTTTCGTATATTTACTCATCTTCCTCTGGTTTTCATATTTTTACTTTTCAGGTGGAGGCACACAAGTGAGAAAAGGTACAGTTATGGCAGGAGATCAGCTTAAGGTGCTTAATGCACTTGATCTTGCAAAAACACAATGGTACCATTTCACAGCGATTGTGATCGCTGGCATGGGTTTCTTCACCGATGCCTACGATCTCTTCTGCATTTCTCTTGTGACCAAACTGATCGGTCGCATCTACTACTTTGATCCACTCTCTGAGAAACCTGGCTCACTTCCTTCCAACGTTTCGTCTGCTATCAATGGAGTTGCATTCTGTGGTACCCTTTCAGGCCAACTCTTTTTTGGCTGGCTCGGAGACAAGATGGGAAGGAAACGTGTTTATGGTATGACTCTTATGCTCATGGTGATATGTTCGATTGCCTCTGGCCTCTCTTTCGGTAAGCAACGCGAAGCTGTCATGGCCACACTTTGCTTCTTCCGTTTCTGGCTTGGCTTTGGCATTGGCGGAGACTACCCTCTCTCAGCCACCATCATGTCTGAGTATGCCAACAAGAAGACTCGAGGGGCTTTCATTGCTGCAGTTTTTGCCATGCAAGGTTTTGGTATTTTAGCTGGTGGCATGGTTGCTATCATAGTTGCTGCTGCTTTCAATGCTAGATACCCTGCACCTTCATATAGCGAAAATCGATTTTTATCCACAGTCCCTCAAGCTGATTATGCTTGGAGGATAATTTTGATGTTTGGTGCCTTACCTGCTCTGCTCACATACTATTGGCGGATGAAGATGCCTGAGACTGCTAGATACACTGCCTTGGTGGCCAAGAATGCCAAGCAGGCTGCTTCAGACATGTCGAAAGTTTTGCGGGTTGAGATTGAAGCAGAACAGGAGAAGGTTGAGGAGGTGGAGAGACAGAGAGGGAATGATTTTGGGTTGTTCTCGAAGCAGTTCCTTCGTCGGCACGGCCTTCACTTGCTTGGAACCACCAGCACTTGGTTTCTTCTGGACATAGCGTTCTACAGCCAGAACCTGTTCCAGAAAGACATTTTCTCGGCGATTGGATGGATTCCAGACGCTAAAACCATGAGTGCCTTTGAAGAAGTTTACAGAATTGGCAGAGCTCAGACTCTCATAGCTCTTTGCAGCACTGTCCCCGGCTACTGGTTCACAGTGGCCCTTATAGACAAGATTGGAAGGTTTGCCATTCAATTGCAGGGCTTTTTCTTCATGACTGTGTTCATGTTTGCTTTGGCCATTCCTTATCATCACTGGACTTTGAAGCACAACAGGATTGGTTTTGTTGCGATGTACTCATTGACCTTCTTCTTCGCCAATTTCGGTCCGAATGCCACCACATTCGTTGTTCCGGCTGAGATTTTCCCGGCAAGGCTAAGGTCAACCTGCCATGGCATCTCAGCGGCAGCCGGCAAGGCTGGGGCTATAGTGGGTACTTTTGGCTTTGTTTATGCAGCGAAGGACTTTGGGGTGAGAAAGACTCTTATAGCTCTGGGCGTAGTTAACCTCTTGGGGTTGTTGTTTACGTTCTTGGTGCCGGAATCTAAAGGAAGATCCCTTGAAGACATGTCTGGTGAAGCAGAGGAAGAGGCCTCTATCCCTAATGGCCCTGATGCCAGAACAGCTCCCGTCTAAGTTACTTGGCTGTCCAGTTTCCAAGTATAAACATACATAGCTTCGTAGCATTTGGCTGTTTGCATTAAAGATAGATTTCTACCTTCACTTGCTGTTTATGCAGATGCAAACCATCTGTAGACAACTAGATACAGATTGAGCCGTTTAGCTTCCTCGTATTACTGTCACAATGCCCAAGCCTTTGATGTGTAATAATTATGAAAGAAATGTCAGAAAATTTTGTGGTTTCTGCCCATTTGTTCCCCTCGCGGTTTCTGATAATCTTGCACTTAAGTACGGCATAATCAAATTCTTGAGGTTGTCATCTGATATTTGAAGAGATTGTGGGGAACCTGATGAGGAAGAGGTGAAGACCGTGAGTGATTTCAACATTGTTTATTTTGGCGTGCCTATGTTTCTAATGTGAGGCGCATGTGTGAATGAGATGTATTTCGACGGGGTTAAGTTAATTGAGGCATGAGGAGTGGTTAGCTTCGGAATAAAGATGAGATGGGCCCTATCTTTGAATTGTATTCCTACCATTTGCTCTTGCTGTCGTAGACAGTAGCTACACATTATTTATTACAGCCGCGTTGACGGCCATCGTCAATTATTGCTTCAAGCTCACCAAATAATCGGCGATCTGATGTGAGGGGCTAAATGGGACTTCAAAATTCACCTGCACTAGTTTAACCCAAAACTTTTCCCTGAAGAGTTGGAGGGAAATTTCCCGTAACCACCGTGAAGAAGAAGGCTTATGGCTATTGACAAAGTGTAGGAGTCTATTCCAGAGTTAACCCTGAGACTAAAAAGGCAAATCTCTGGTGGACTCGAAGAAGAGAATATGATGATGGAAGAAAATATTTGGAATGATACCAACAGGGATTAGATTTAACAAAAAAAACTAGTCTTTCACAGCGTGATGAATCAATGTTTGAATTTGTGCTGAGAGATGTGTTCACACTCACTGTCTAATAATACCTCGAATAAGATTCTTTTTAATAAGAGGACGCTTATACTTTAGAAAAGGGGGGGAAAAAAGAATGAAACGTGATACCCAACTCAAAGCCGGGTCGTTGGCAAACGCAAAAGGGAAGTTGCAAGTAACATTAGTGGGGCAGTCATTCACATTTGGGTGGTGGTCTATAATGTTACCCAATCGAACCACGTTAAGAAAAGTAACAGAAGATGCAAATGAAGTGAAATGAAAATCAATATAGAAAGAATCTTAACTGGAGAAATGGCTTCAATTCACTTGAGGAAGGGGGCAAATGGTCCCAGATGAGTAAGAAGTTCGGGTGAATTGGGTTCCACTCGATAGGAGTCACCTCACTTCATATTCTGATGCTCTCGACGTCAAAACTAATTGGAAATTGTCAGCCCTACATGCCACAAAATATCTTCACATGGCTTGCTCACTGTTACCATTTCCCCCGTGAGTAAGTTCCCCCGCCTCACGTGACGCTTACATCTGACATCAAACTTCCACGTTAATTCCTGGGGCTTCGACCTTTTAGGCTTTTACTTCGAAGCTCACGAGACTCGCGGAAAATTGATTCTTTTTGAAATACTGGGTCAGAAATTGAGCATGTGTTTTCTGGTCCTTTAGTGTAAATACGCACACTTAACTCAAGCCCAAAGAGTGGGTCACTTGGGCAATGGGCCCGTAACTTCTATAAAACAGTTAACGGAAAACCGAGTTGCTTTGTTAAATTTCAAGTAACGTTATATCGATCACCAACTTTCATTGGCTTATTGTTTGATAACTATTTCAATTATATTTAAGCAGAGAGAAACGAGAAGGAAGTTATTTCTTCCCATCCTTAATATAAAAGCTAGTTGATTAATTTGAGTAGGTTAAAAAAATTTGTTAAATTAGTTATTTGTAAATAATTAGATATTGTCTTCTTAGAATATCATTACTAATAATATGTATTACTCCTACGACTCTTAATATAAGACACATTTAACTAATTTGATTAGATTAAGAAAGTTAGATAAGTTAGTTAATTATAAAAAATATGACATGTTCTTTTTAAAACACTATAATCATCTTTTTTAATATCCTCCTTCCCTCACTTACTTGATTATGGTTGATGGAGTATCCATGGGGGTAATTTAGAAAAATTTGATAAATATGATAAATAGGTCTTATATTTAGGATCAAAATTAACTTAACAATTAGATCTTATATTAAGGATCAGAGAAGTAATTAAAATTATTATTTCATGGAATTTTTAACATGATAATGAGGACTATTTTAAACAGAAAATGAATAAATATGAGAGACAAAATAAATTAAAATCTTATATTTAAAATCAAATTAATATTTATATTAAAGATCGGATGGTGCATTTGACTAGAGGACACTGAGGCGAGTGACTGAAAATGACGCCGCACATGAGGAAGCTGCCCCCTACGTTGCCCTAAAACTATGAAGAATAGAGAACATGCAGGAGGATCCAAACGTCAATTCCCTTTTTCGACGACAAACGTGTAGCGTGCGAGATTCGGCTGGCGAGTGCGGGGTAGGTTTCATGGACAGAGACCATTATTTCAAGCAAATTAGTGGCGCTAAAACAAATACCACAAAATCCAACTACTACTTTTAGTACTCAATATAAAATTTTATTTAATTTTTATTTTGATCCTAATTATAAGATTTCAATTTACTTTATCTCTCATATTTATGTATTTTTCTTTTCAAGAAAGTCTTTCTAATAATAATAGTTCTAACCAATAAACTTGATTAGCAAGAATATTTTAAGAAAGACAACATATATTTATTACAAATAACTAACTTAACTTATTTCTTTAGTCTCCTCAAATTAGTCAACTAGCTCTTATAATTAGGACCAGAGGTAGTATTTTCTAGCAATTTACTCTCTTTATAAGCTTTCAATAACTAATTTATGCATAATAAATAATTACCTACAATTAATTAAAATAATAGATAGGTTAGAAATATATTTTTATTTTTAAATACACTCTCATAATAAATGAGAAAAAGAATGAAAGAGAATGTGTGAAAAAAATGTGATAAAAATAAACAATTAAAGACAATATTAAAATTTTTTTATTAAATATTAGAATAAATTAAAATTAAAATTTATAAAACAAATGACACCCCTTCTTAAATTTAAAATTTATAAATAGGATCGGAGGGAGTCTATTGACTCAGTTATATTTTGTGGATAGATTTTACTGCCTCTGGTCTTGTATTAAAAGCAGAAAGTAATATTTTGTCTTTTTGAGAGCAAAATTAGGGCTAAGGATTAGAGCTGAGAAAATAAGTTTGCCCGGCCCTGCAGGGCTGGCAAGTTTAAAAAGACTGGCCCTCTAAGGCTAAAATTTTAAAAATACCTCAATTTGTTAGGTTCAGCCCTTAAACAAATGGACTCAAGGCCGGCCCATGGGTTTTTGGTCCGTTTATTTTTTTTATTTTTTATATTTTTCATATGTTTTATCAAAAAAATAAAAACAAACTAATAAAATTACTAGTAAAAGACATAAATATGAATAAAATTAACTTACAAATACAAAAAATCATCATATATAAATATCCATCAGCATAAAAAAATTCTAAAACATCCATTAGACATAACAAATCAATAACATTAACATCAAAAAGTTTCATTAAAAGTAGACAAACATTTTTACTAAAAAAAAGTGGACAAATACTATTATCACTATCATTAATTGTAAGAATATTTAATTGTGCTTCACTAGTAATAGGCTCTTCTTAATTTCTAAAAATATTAATGATTTCTTCTCAATACTATTTAGCCATTCTAGAGTTTAATATATTTTAGTATTTTGGATTGATCCATAGTATGCTTTTTTTTTTTTTTTTGGTGAACAACGAGCGAACACCGAATTAACTACACACACTTCGCAGCATTCCAACACCCTTAAGGTCTTCGTGAAGCAGCGGAAGAAGTTCGTTGGGAGGGGCTTGCCAGTAGACGACTCTGCTTTGCTGTTCCAGGCTTAGGTAAGCCAATCTATCTGCACATCGGTTTGCTTTCTCTGTAGACATGATTAATTGTGATATTCCACTCTTTCCTTCTCCATTCCTGTATCTTAGCAAAGGTGTTGTAGTTTCCGAATATGGTAGCTTCATTGTTAATTGCTTCCACAATCTGTCTCGAATCACACTCAATCTCAATTTTCCGGAACCCCATCTTCCAGCACATCTCTATCCCTTCCAGAATACTCCTCGTTTCTGCTTCAATAATGCTACACCCTTCAATTTTCATTGAAAATCCTCCTATCCATTCTCCGCAATCCCCTCTTATCACTCCTCCACATCCATTCATGCTTCCAAATGTCCCTGTGCCATCCGTGTTCAGTTTGCACCACCCTTTCCTTGGTCGTTGCCACTTCACCAAAACAGAAACCTTTTCTTTCGAGTCCCACAGACCCTCCTCCCATTTATGGTGATAATTCTCCATGTATTTCCGAATCTCGCCTTCTGGAGATCTTGGTAGCTCAAAGTCTTTGTTATGTAACCATAGGTTCCTCCATTTCCAGATATGCCAGCACCCTACTGCGTACAAGTCTGCCCACAGCAATTTCTCACTAATCTTCTCTCTTCTTGTCAGGTTCTTCTGTGTCCAGTCCGTCCAATCTTGCCCAAAGAACTCGACTCTCTTCTCCTCTGGAATTAGTTGCCTCCAGATCAAGGTTGCATACATGCAATCTCTTAGAGCATGGAGAATTGTTTCCACATGGATTTTACATACCGGACACCACCCCCCACTTCCATCCCATTTGCTTGTTCGCTCCTTTGTAGGAAGTTTTCTGTGTAATGCTCTCCACATGAAAAATCTTACTCTTTCTGGGACTTGAAGCTTCCAATTTATTCTCCAGTAGTGTCTGGAGGATATTTCTGATTTGCCCTTTAACCATGTGTAAGTGCTCGCAGTTGTGAACTCACCATTACTAGTCAGCTTCCACTTCCATCCTTCTACCCCTTCTTGGTTACTTTGATTAGTTTTCACCACATTGAGCTGCAAATTTTCCCATCCTCGCTCCATCATCTTCCAAAGTCTTGAGTCGGTTTTTTTAACTAGTAGCTTTTCCCCCATTTCTCCATTCCTCCCGTACTTCCCTTGAAGAACTTGAGACCACAAAGAATTTGATTCTTTATGATATCTCCATAGTAGTTTTAGCATGAAAGCCTCGTTCATTAGCTTTAGAGACTTTACCCCTAAACCACCATTTTCTTTCAAGTCACACACAGTTTCCCAATTGATGGCATGCCACTTCCTTTCCTCTCCTTCCTCTCCCCAAATG